AATAAAAAGAAAGGAGTTAAAAAAAGAAAAGGGAAGAAGAAAAAAATAATTAAATAGAAAAAATCCATTCCATTTTTTTAAAAGTACAAAAAGCAAAACAAAGAAGTTAAACAAAAATAATAATGCTTCTAAAATCCAAACCCAACATCAAAATCAAATCCACATTCCGTTCCAATCATTAAAAAAAAGGAAAAGGATAAAAAAAAAACACCAAAAAGCCTGCCGATCGCCATTCTACCTTCCCCCCCCCAAAAAAACCCCGAAAGGCTTGCCGATCGCCATTTTACTTTCCCTTTCAACAAAAGGAAAAAAAAATAAAAAGAGGGAATATAAAAGTAAAAGTAAATCTTTAAACTTAAAATCCAAATAAAATCAAAGAAAGCAAAAGCTAAATCCTCTACTCAGCTCTGTCCGCCTCTAAAAAAAACTCACCAGATCACTTTAATCGCGGAGGTGGTTGCAGCGGCTTGTTTTGTCCCTAGGGACAAAAGCAGCTGGGAAGCGGAGACAGTCTGAACTCCGTGTGAGCACTCCTCTCACCCCCCCCAAAAAGCCTTAGGGGTGCATGAGAGTGGCTCTACCACTATTCAGACAACCCTCTTCCCCCCCCTTTGCCCGGGAGGGGGATTTTGAACTGCTGAACAGCTGATGGCCGCTGTTCATAGCGATTCAAACACTTACCCAGGAGAACGGCTACAAAGTAGCCGCCATCGCGCGCGCAGATCCACCGGAAGAATCATCACTGCGGTTCTTAAATTAGTAACATGGTTGTTAAGTGAATCTGGTTTCCCTATTGATTTTGGTTGTCAGAAGGTTGCAAAAGGGAATCACATGATCCTGGGACAATGTGACCATTATAAATATGAATTAGTTGCCAAGCATCTGAATGTAAATCACATGACCCTGGAGATGGTGCAACAGTCATAAGTGGGAAAAATGTCATAAGTCACTTTTTTCAGTGCTGTTGTAACTTTGAACAGTCACTAAGTGAACTGTTGTAAGTCAAGGACTACCTGTACTTTTATCAGTTTTTTCCTTTTGTTTTTTTGTTTTGGTCTTCAAGTTTTTGACACCTTGCTAGGGGACTGGTGGTACTCGAATAATGCCATATCCTAAAAGTGGTACAATCGGTGAAAAGGTTGAAAAGCCCTGCTGTAGAGCAACAGAGATCTATAGCTCTTCTGATTTGCTTATGACCTTCCAAGATTCATCTGGATCTATTTATTTATTTAGTCTTTTTTATAAGTTGTCTTAGCCTACCGGCTCTATGCACTTTACACTATATTGCAGTACAAGAAAACCATTAGTCAAATATAATAATATAGCATCATACTGACAATTCCCATGCAACTGCTAGCTAATTCAGCCACAACATGTTATAATATAACATTATTGAAGTATTTTAAAGTCATCTGGAATTTTATTCACTTATTTGCTTACTATATTTTTACTCTACTTATTTCCCAGAGGCCCATGGCAGTGCACAGTTAAAATGAAAACACTTTACTATTCAATATTCAAAAAAAAAAAATATTAAGCAAAACTATTTTTAAAAATGACAGTTTGTCATCCAATGAAAAATTGTCAGTCCTTAAAATGTCCTTCTGAATAGGTTACCTAAAGCTTAAAAGGAGCCATCCAGATCTCCTACAGGAGACTATACCAAAAGAGGCGATGTTGTCACACAAAAATACTTTCAATCTAAGGAAGAACCCATAGTATGTTCACTCAGTCAACACATTAGACATCTAGGATTCAGTTGTAGTAGATCAGTGGTTCTCAACCTGTGGGTCGGGACCCCATTTGGGGTCGAACGACCATTTCACAGGGGTTGCCAAACAACGCAGTCCTCCATTTTTTCCCCCATTTTCCTTAGCTGTGCTACTCCCTTTTATTCTATTGGCTTTTGAAAGCCAATAGAATAGACTCTCTGAATAGAGTAATTCTATTGGCTTTCCAAAGCCAATAGGAATTGTCCAGGCTGTCTCTGCCCTGCTGAGCCCACCAAAAGTCCCATTCTGCAAACGGTGCTGCACCAGTTGAGTAGTCCTTGACTTACGACCGGTTGAGTAGTCCTCGACTTACGACCGGTTGGGGGTCGCGGCATTAAAAAGGTTGAGAACCACTGTAGTAGATAGTTCTGCGGGTATTAAGTGACTTTATAGGACAACACGAAGCACTTTGTTACATGAAAACCTACTAGCAATGAATACAATTAAGACATAGATACAGATAGTTCTTGACCTACAACAGTTCATTTAGTGACCATTCAAAGTTACAAGGGCACTGAAAAAAGTGACTTATGACTATTTTTCACACAACCATTGCAATATCCCCACATTCACGTGATCAAAATTCAGACCTGATTCATATTTATGATGGTTGCAATGTCCCAGGGTCAAGAGATCACCTTTTGTGGCCTTCTGACAAGCAAAGTTAATGGGAAAGCCAGATGTACTTAACAACTGTATTACTGTGACTCAATTGCAGTGATTCACTTAACAACTATGGCAAGAAAGGTAGTAAAATGGGGCAAAATTCACTTAACAGCTGCCTTGCGTAGCAGCAGAAATTTTTGGCTCAATGTAGTCATAAGTTGAGGACAACCAGCATATGTGAGTCATAGTTCTAACTTACTAACATGAAATCTGCTGCCTGTCAACTACAGTTTCTAGATAATCTTCAAAGGCTGCCTTGTGTGGAACACATTACAGTAAACTAATCAGGAGTGATAAAGGTATGTGTCACTGTAGCCAAGGCTTCCATTCCCAGGCAAACCCACAACTGGTATACCATTCCAGCCAAAGCTGGGCAAAGGCTTCCTAGCTAAGATTTCCACCTGCCTATCAAGAAGTATTCATTATACTGGTAGAATGCTTTGAGTCCTGCTCCTTCAATGGCAGCACTATCTCATTCATAATAATTACTACCTTGAAATCCACAAGATGGAATGATTGACAGATTATTGCAAAACCATACCACTCCCATTTCCATGGATCCTGTCCATGTGGAATCAAGACCTGATCAAACTTGAACCATCTTATAATAATTTGTTACTCAAACTCTTCATAGCAGCATGTGGATATTGTGGAATTTCAAGATCAAGATTCTAAGAGTGTTGCAGCACTGTTTGTTGATACACTAAGGGAGGAGTTTCCAGCCACTTCTCACCTCCTTGATTGGACAAACAAGTGTTCATCCCCCATGTAAGAGCAGTCATATCTATCAATTTAATTGGAAAACAGGCTCAAATGTGCCTCATTTTATTGTGAGATACCAGTCTTGTTAGATACCAGCATCTAACCAAGGACTGGTACCATATAAGTGATTTTATCCACCAAACACTTGCCAAAAATACCCACAAAAGTCAGCCACAAAAGTTCCTCAAAGCCACTATTCCCCAAAAGGATATGAGTTATTTTAAATCAACTTATAGATGAACAAATGCTTTGGAATTCTTACTCATATACAGTAGAATGCATTTTTAATAGTACTCATTGTATGATTTCATAATCTCTGAAGCAATATTTTATAGTTGGTTCCAATGGGTTAGTCTTAAGATTTCTACTAAAATATGTATACAAAAATCTAAAGACTAATCATGTCCAGCTTGCATATTTTAAACTGAGAACAGTAATTTGCTTTCATAAAATTAGTTAAACACTGTTTTCTTCCTCTTTAGTTATTCTTTCATATGATTGAATTCCTACTAAATGTCTCATATATTATTTAATGTTTTATTTTCTTCTTTTTCTTTGTACAAGTCTCCATAGTATAAATATTTCAATAGGCAGCCTCACTCCTAAACCTTCTATATATTGCAGGAACTGGTTTTTCCTCTAAAGATAAGCTCTTATAAATGTATAAAGTTTTACTGAAACCATTTTGTAATTTGTTACATTGCCATAATAGTTGGAGGAGAAGCAAGATAAATAGTAGAAATGCCTTATTACCATTGTGATTACCTATTTTTTAGCCATTTCCTTTGAAAAATCAATCTTCTTATATTTTTGGACCAGTGGAATTTTCCAGTGAATACTACTGGACATTAAAAGAGTTTTTCAAAGTAATATAAATCAGACAAGGAATATTATTGTTAGCTTTTAAAATAAAAAACACACAAAATCTGTAGTGGTATTTTTATTCTGTAGAGAGGAGGACTGGTTCATACATGACTCCTGGGGGTGTCACAGTATTTGTTCAATGCAAACACAATTATTTCTGCTACCTACTATTTACAGAACAAGGTACAGCATATTTTCTTTCATTCTGCAGTCCAATTCCACTGCCATCTCCTTTTGCTAACCAAACTCATTGGTACTGAAAGAAAAGCATAGCCAATTCAAAATAAATCATAATGATAATCTTGGATTATCCCAATCCCTGGTAAAGCATTGCTTGCACATCCCAGCATCTAGAGTTTTAAAAAGTTTTTGCATAATCTCTAGAGAGGAAAAATGAAAAACTGCCTAGCTCAAGCAAAATTTAAAGACAAGAATTCATTAAAAAGGTCAGCTGAATAGGATAGTAGAAGGGCATCTGCAACAATGGTAACTGACTTCATAATGGCAATCATGATCAGTTAATTGAAGTCCACCCCTTATTAACATTGGTCACATACATTGAATGTATGTCCATAGAGAGCAGATTAAATAGACTGAAGACATCTATCAAGAGAGAAAGAAGAAAGCTAGAGCTACCAGCTGCAAGTGCAATCATAGTTTTCTTATTGAGAATACAACAACTAATCTAACCCCCATTAAAAATTCATAGAAGTTATTTATTCACTAGAAAGAAAGGAGGAGTGAATACCTCCCACAAAAACAAAGAATACAAATTTGCATAAAACCTGACTGTTGATTTATATGGATAGAGAGCATATTTGGACAAAAATATTTGTCTCAATATATTGAAAAAACTGGGACCAGGAGACTTGCATTCTGTATGCTTTAGTGTGATTTCAGTGCTAAATTACTTAGTCATTTGTCTTATGTAAACAGATTGAAGAAATTGGGAATACTGTTTCACTTGGGAAGACTGCGGAGTGATATGATGTCACTTTTAGAAAGAGTCCCACACAGAAGAAAGTCAAGACATATTCTCCATTGGTAAGAGTTTAAGACATGGAATAATGGACTAAAATAACAGGAAGTGAGATTTCAACTCAATGTCATAGGGGCAGAGGGAGAGAAGGAGAGCAATTTGACAGGAGAACTGATTATTCAGAGAGATGAGGAGGCCTTCTTTTCTAGTAGTGTTAACTGAAGACTAAACAACCATTGTGGTAGAGAGTGGAGGAGATGCTTTTAATTTCAGTTTGTGTATTGAGCATTGGACTGTATTCAAGCCCTTTGAAAGTTATCATTCTGATTGTTGAATAATTCATGCAAAGAACTTGGCTTATATTTGGTTATTCATTCAGAGTATAACATGAACTGGATATTACATTTAGTCATTTTAGGACTAAAATCAACAATTCAAAATTTAAAAACCATTTTTTTAAAAAAAATCAGGGAACTTCTCTCGCTAGATCTTTATCCATTAAGTTTAATGGAGAAAGCAAATAATTGTTTTGACAGTAACCTACAAATTAGCATTAATTTTCCATTTTCTCATTCTACAGGAAACAAATATTTACAAATGCAAGCTTTCAGTTTAACCTTCATCAGACATCCCTTTTCCCCAGACAAAGTATGTTTGTATTTATTGCAAGAGTTTAATGAGAACAAAATTGCAAGCCATACTTCCTTACTCTAGAAAATATTCACAAAGGGTATGCTAATGAAATTATGTAAAGTAATTAACTTCACAATTTCCCACATTCAAAATTGATACATCTTCTTTGCCTGCTATTATTTGCTTGTCATTCTGTTTTTCCACTGTTTGGTTTTAAAGAAATGCTCCCCTCCTTTTCTAAGTTATTATTTGGTTATTTTGTAGGATTCCCAACATAATTTGAAAAATTGCAATTCTTCTATTATATATAGTATATATTTCCCCAAATATGCTCTCCATGTGCAGTTCGATTCTGCTGCAAATAGTTCACCTGATGTTAGATGATTTTACTTTCTTATAAAATATCTTATATCAAAATATAAGTTACACAGTAACTTATAAAGTATATCAACAGCATGGGATGTCAGGTAGCCATTTATACATCATAAAAAGAGCACAACAGTTAAATGTTTCTGTTAAATCCTTCGTTTAATGGCGAATGAAGATCACACATGGTTTCTCCTTCTGCTCACTCCAACAACAACCATGAGACTCTCAGGTCTCTGCTTTTGTGTCCGGATCCCTGGGCAAAATGGTTCGCGCATGTGCACAAGGCTGACGCTGCTCAGTCTGGTCCCGGGCAGCTTGCAGCAACCCCGGGACCATAGCAATGTCCCGAGCCTGCTTTTGCAGGCTCAGGACACAATAGTTTCCAAGTTAAAAAGTGTATAAGCAGAATTCATCTTATTATAAAAGGGAAGATGGCAACTGAGTTGTTTTTCTGTGTAGCCTGTTCTTCAGGCATAAACTATTGATAGACAAGTCCATGGATTTTTTGAGAAATAACTAGTTCTCTCTTCAATTTATTTACTGAGTGATGAGTAAAAAAAAGTTAATTCCACAAACATAAGTAGAGGGCAGATCTCACCAAATTAAAGGTGGTAGCTGTGATTGTGCAGTCAAAATTCTGGCCTGTTTTTATGCGTATCACACGTTACTTTTTTGAGCCTTTTCTGCCCTCTCACATCCTTGTTCAAAAATTTATCTATACCTTATAGCAATCTAACCATTTCACCATTATGTCTGTTACTGGCAGAAAGAAAAAAGTGGCATTTTAAATACAATATTCTCCAAATGGGCAACTGAAATTTATTAGACCATTGCCAGAGGCAACTTGTGACAATGTTCAGATGATTAATTGGTGAATATAGATGAAAAACACTAAGAATAAAGAATATACAGCTACTAAACAGGTTGTTGATTGGATGTGCTCCAGATTTTTGTACTTATCATTAGACCTTACCAACAAGGCTAGTGGTAAAATATATTACATTTTTAATCTTTTTTTAAAAAAAGGATTATTTTGATTAGTTTTGCACAATATTGATTATGAGTGATTATATGCTATCCGGTTGGTGTTGATTCTTATCAAACACATAGTTTTCCTTCTTGAGAATCTCTGCTAACCAGCTCTTCCCATGATGCAGCTGAATCAACCTGCAACTAAATCCATTCACCTTGCTGCTGATTGTTCTGTCCTCTTTCTTTCCACCTTTTTCAGAATTACAGCCTTTTCCAGAGACTAAACAACATATTGAACCAAACTGAAAATTAATCATGTTTAATTACAATTATTTATCCCTGCCCATTGTATAGATTCAGATTGTTTATGATTCAAATTTTCATGTGAACCCACCCATTGTGAAAGTATTGAGCATCGGGAATGCTTCTAATCTGTATGGAAGTTGTTTGTAGATCTATCAGTAGATTCCAATCAACTTTCGCAGTGTATCTAATCTATCTATCATAGCTCCCTATGGTCTCAATCAGAAATCTTCCACTCATCCCATTATTTGATCTTTTTAAGAGAAAACTTCTTTAAAGTGGAGCTTTTAATATATATATTAGGGCTGAAAAGCATTGTTTTGAAGCAAGTCATCCATAAAGATGACTTGATTTTATCGGAAGGGTTTGTTGAATCAAGCTTCATTATGAAATAAGAATTTAAAACATTCCTAATTCCTTGTATAAAATGCTTGAGGAAAGAAGAAGAGGAATTCATATTATAAGTAAACTCTGGTATTTTCAAAACTTAAGTTCTGAATACCACTGAAATATGAATATTGTTCACTCTCTCTACAAGAATGGATAAAATCAACATTTGTGTGATAAACTGATGAAATGCCATGTGGTATTTATTCCAACTGTATCATCACCAAAGCAGGGTTATACTGCATTAAATCTTTTCAAAACTCTCACATCAAGACAGCAATTACTTTATTACTCAATGTACTTACAAGAAGATAAGTAATGACTATTCAGACTAATCTTATGGAAACTCAGTTGATGCTGTGAGGAAGTTTGTTTTGCTATTTTATGGAGGAGTAACATAGAATTACTTGTTTCTTTTTGAACAGTTCTGTTCTCTGCAGTATATAGTACAAAGTTTATTTATTATTATTACATTCAACATTTCTGGTTTTGTGTTTTTACATTAATCCCCCATTTTTCAGAATTTAGGTTTGAGACATATTTGTTTTTTCATGAATGGGAAAATACAAATGATTTAGAGATGTGCATATATAACCAAATAAGTACTTTGAGATTTAGGATGAAGAGGTTTTATGTGCATCTGTAAAGAAATGGATGGAAAAATCCTATGCAGACATGTTGCAGGTCATGTGGACAAGGCCATGAGATTTCCACATATGTATGGTGCTAAAATTCAAAGCCAGATGTGAACAGAAAGCTCATTTTGCACTTGTTACAGCAGCATAGATAGAATGAATCTAAATGATTTAGTTGAACTCAACCAGAATTGGGAGTGGCTGGCTGGGGAAACCTAGGAGTTGACTGGTATAAACATCTTAAAATTGCTGAAGCTGAGGAACACAGTCCAAAGATGGATGGATAGAACTTCATATTTCTTACTTGCTTTTAATGAATTATTGCAGTTAAATGTTATTTACTGGGCCCTATTGTAACATGTGACAGAATGTTACACTCCCTTCATTAGAATCCAGGTATGCTAAATTTTATTTAACTAGATTTGCAGTAATGTCCATCTTTAGTTCAGATATAGACAAAATGTATGTAGATTAACTGATTGAAGAATAATATCCTTATTAGAAAATGAAAGTTATTTAGCAAATGGTAGAAAAATAAGCTATGCAAATCTATTCTGCGTATCCTTGTATTTTGCTAGAGAAAAGCTTGCAATTTTCCTTTTGGATTTCACTCATATCAGCATTAAGCAAGCTATATGATTAAAGTATCAGCAACATGTTAAGAGCAGAAGATCATCTATCCACTTGTTAAAGCTGGGTTAAAATAAAAGCAGATTTAATAGATTATAGGGTTGTGCACTAGAGAAAAAGTTTTGAGTGAATCAATATTTTGAATAGGACACCGGTCCCCAAATTATTCTGGACTTCAGACAAATAACAGCTTCAAATTTCTGTTGCAAAATAATAGAATGTAGCTGACTATAGCAATAGAACCAAATTTGCTTTGTTGCCTTGAGCTATTTTCTTCCTGGAGGAAGCAAAATTTGTTGTAGGATGAAAATATCTAAATCTAGTGTTTCTTGCCTAAAGGATATCTATCATTTCTAACTAGAAATGTTCAGATCAATATAAGTTTGGTCCATTTTCCTGCCCATTCTTCTTCGAACCCCAAATATTACCATACTACACCTTACATTTATTTAATATTTTTTAGAAAACCCATTAAAAATCTGTACCGCTCTCCTCACATTTATCAAATCATCAGAGATATTTTTATGCAACTTCTGTAATGAACTTATCCATTAACATAAATTGCCTCATAAACTGTTTTTAAAATACTAGAATAAAACTTTCCCTGCTGTTGTACTTTACTGCAAGTTTTGTAAATATACAGTTCCTTGATGTAAGCGCCTGTTTACAAAATAACAGCCTCTTCCTATTTCAACAAAATAAGTTATTTTTCACATACAACATTCACAAGCTGGTATTTCTAAACAGATTTTTGAACAGAGACAAATGTTAATTCCCTACTGCTTGCAATCCATTCCATAAATATGCAAGACGCTGACCTGGAGATGAAATTTAGAAGAACATGGAGCAATCGAACATTCCTACAACAAATCCTGGGTTCTTTCTAGGGCAGAAACATATTCCCGTCTTGCCCAATTTAATATTCATAAGCCAGTTTAGCAATAAATCTGTCTCTTTCTTTAAAATGGGATTGGAATGCAAAGCACAAATGAGAACCTTGGAAAGTAAATGCACATTAGAAGTTAATTTACCTGCAAAAGGAAGGCATGCATTTGTCTAAGCAGTAAGTGTAGACAAAGCATAGAGGCCGCAATGTCCATTCTGTGACTACTAAAAACTTCTCTGATGGGATAAATGACACTATCTGGACAATTTGTACCATCTGGTCTTCCTGTTTCAAGCAGCATGTTTATGAATTCCAAAGGATGATAAGCAGCCAGTCTGGTTTCTGTGAACCAAGAACATTATAAGGAAAGGAATTTGTTAAAAACAAAAGTTATATCCATGGCTGGGTCAAAATAAGAGTTCACAAGGTAATCAGGCAGGATACTAAGTGAATGTATGAGATGCAAGCAACACTGATAATGAGTAGTAAGTTGTTTATATCTGCCTGGGATATAAGTTCTAGATGGGGGTGCTAGGCATGGATACTAACAGCTCAATTTCTTTCTGCTGTAAGAGAAATGATTGATCCCTGTGAATCTCTAAACAGCCACGAGTTTGGATCTTGAAACGACAACTGAAAAATACAATTCAGTACCTGGCTATTTAACAGATAACACAACTATTTGGAGCATCACAAATCCATACCATATAAATATATGTTGGAATAGTTATGAACTGTAACTTTGGGCTCTTCCAACTAGAAGACTAGAGTATCAAGCACAATTCATTTCTACTTGACCTTGACATCTGTAACCCACAGAGACTATGTTGATCTTTGCTAGCCCAAATGTTTTCATTCTTACCAGTAATTAATTCTGCATTATATAAGTCAGAGTGGTATTCCTTGTCCTGAGTTGTTAGACTGAATTGAATTCAGTGTCCCTCTCTGCAATAGGAGTGATCTATTTCAGTTATTCCATTTGAACTCACTGTCCAAATCAATTTATACCTGGAGCAGCTTGTACTGGAAATTAAATCAAATGATCTTTGTCACCTCAATTTTTTACTTTATGTGACAATTGGGAATTTCCAGATAGGCAGGTCCTTGGCCTTTCAAAAATGTATTTCTTTTCTTTTTAACAGAATTTTGTAGGCAGCATGAATAAAAACTGAGATTGTAGTTTCTGCTCCAAGTTAAAGAGATGACCTGTAATTTCTAAGTTAGCAATGTTCTCTTAGGTTTCATTAGCTTTTTTGTTTATTGATAATTTTTATATGTTAATTGCTTTCTTCTTTTTCTAAGATACTTTACAAATATAATTGAATGGTGAGATAAAATAGATGTAATTACAATCTAAATGATACAGAAGCGGCTACTTTGCTAAATTAAATGTACCTGAGGCCCTTTTAGATATCCGGAGATCTGTATTTATAAATCCACAAGAGTTAATTCTAGGAAGGGGAGGGATCAATGAGACAAATAATGAGCGATGAACCTAACTAAATTCGTAAGACTTGCCTCTAAAGCACGGGTGTCAAACTTGCCATGTCACATGACGTGTTGTGACATATCGTGACTCTTCTAGCATTGCCAGCAATGGAGTAGGTGCAGCTTCAGTATGATGAAACCAGCCCACAGGCCGGCAGATTGACACCCCTCTCTAAAATCTTCGTCACAGAAAGAGCCCTTACAATCCTTGTAAGCTTTTACTTTAACATGATGGCAAAGGCAATGGACCTTCTTAGATGAAATAAATATTGTATATATACAGTATACACACACACACACACACACACATCAAACTATTCCTTGAAGAATTAGCAACACTTTGCAAAGTGCACAAAGTAAGAAAATAATATTAAACAAAACAAGGGCCTGAGTTAAGAAATATATATACATACATTCATGCACATACATAATAGGTTTACATCAATATTATTCACTACTGAATTTCTTTTCATATAGTTTCTATCCTTGGAAACCATCCACACAGGGTTTGGATGAAGATCCAGAATTAGCTGTCATTCTTGTTCTTGCAGATCAACATATACATATAGCGAGTCTTCACTTAATGACAATAACTGGGTCCAGAATTTCTACTGCTAAGCAATTCAGAATAAAACACATCATGGGACCACATAACTTAGGGATTGCAATCCCACACTCCTTGTTGCTGTCATTAAATGAGGATTGTGGGTTGTTAACTTCCTCATAACTTATTGCCAGTTGCCAATAAATAAGATCAATGGGGAAGCTGGCAAGAATTTGTAAGTCCTGGGTAGCTTGCAAGTAGGCTGGTGGGCAGATAAGTGGCTGCTGAGGTGCACTGCAAGTAGAGATGAATAGGAGTAGCTCTTGTTCGATGCCTGTACCTGTGGCTCACATAGTGCTGCACAAGCATAGCAGGCTCAATAGCTGTTGCAACTCTGCAGCTCTGCACAAGTGCAGTCAGATGGGTGTGCATGCATTATGAAATGCAGATTTAGGGGTGTTCTCATACTCTGTAGGGCTTCTTTGGGAGAAAAAGCTGTGGGAATGGGAGTGACTTATTGGAGTGAATAGCCACCTTCCCTGCCAGCTTCCTGACTGATTTTGCTTGTGTGAAGCTGGCAGGGAAGGTCACAAATGGTGATCATATAATGTTACAACTGTTAAAAGTGTGAGTCATTATAAAGTAATACTGACACTTCACATGATCTTGATTCTGTCACTCTGTTAATGCAGCCTAGGACTGTGTTGGCTTTTTTGGCAGCTGCTGCACACTGCTCTCTCATATTTAAATGATTGTCCACTAGGACTCTAAGATTCCTCTTGCACTTGCTACTGTATTACTGAGCCACCTATTCTATACCTGTGCATTTGTTTTTCTTGCCTAAATGTAGAACCTTACTTTTCTCACCATTACATTTCATTTTGTTAAATATGGCCAAGTTTTCAAGTCTGTCAAGATCCTTCTGTATCTTGAGCCCATCTTCTGGAGCCCCAGCTATTCCTGCCAACTTGGTGTATTCTGCATATTTGATGAGTTCCACTTCTAACCCACTATCTAAATCACTGATAAAGATATTGTGCCTAAGACACAGCCTTAGGCTGCATACATAAATATGAGTCTATTTATAAAATGTTCAGATTTCTTGTGGATAGTTTTAAAAATTCTGTCAACATAAAGAGCTAGAAGTAATTTTCAGATCCTTTGATTCCATATTATTTAGGGCTTTATCATTTAGGGGAAAAATAAATTGTACTTGAAACAGATCCTAAACTGCAGAGCTGCTTCTTTAAATCCTAATCAGTACTTCCAATTTGCTCACTTTTTATAATAATTTGTCTACTATAATTGTTTATCTACCAAGCAATAAACAATGTATATTCCTTCTCTAAATTCAATTCATTAGTTTCAGCAGCTAGACTCTTTAAGAACAATGTATTTGATTTCATTAGGATTGTAGTGAGCATTAACACCTAAACTCCCCATGGCTTTTATGATCAAACAGAGCTCATAGGAGACCAAAATTAATGCTTACAAAATTAATCAATGTCTTCTATAACTTCTTAGGACTTCCAGCTAAAGAGGTTGGATCACTGCAGAGAATGTCCTCAAGTCCCATATTGAATAAGCATCCCTGAAGATGATCACAGTCACTGTTGTTGTTGAGATCAGTTGTCCACAAAGGAGGTTAAAAAAATAAAGTTTCTTTCAAGTCAACTCAGTAATGTTTTTGACCATGATACAGAAGTGATTTGACATTGCTTCCTTCAGGATTTTTTTAAAATTTTTTTCCAGTCTATCCTATAATCCTGGTCTTTTCTAATGGATTCCCATTCAAATACTACCTAAATCTGATTCTGGTATTAACAAGGCCAGATATTTTTATTTCTAATCCACAGCTTAATCCTAAAGATGAACAAAGTAACCACTAACTATTTTTTTAGAATAGAATAGAGCTGGAAGGGACCTTGGAGGTCTTCTAGTCTAGCCCCCTGCTCGAGCATTTGAATACATTACATTGTATTACATTAAACTAGAAAGTGATAGCTTTCATTGTTGAATACTATGCACCATTCCTGTTGTGCATGCTGTGTTCAACCATCAAATGGCTTAAATAAGTAAAATAAATTGTGCCAGCAAAGTGCAAATTTATTACAAGAGCAAGTGTTCTAATTCTACCACATTTCTAAAAACAATGTTTTTAAATTTGAAATAAGGTTACATTCAAGATCCTCCCAGAGGATCTATTTGTTTACAGGGCAGATGTAAACATATGTATAAGTCCCCAACTGTGTAGCGAATCTAAACTCTGTTAGATAGTGACTTATTCCAGCAAATTTCTTCTTAAATTCTGAACTCTCTGTGATAATGGCATTCTTTCTGGCTTTTAACCACAGTTCACATTTAATTTAAGCCAGTGAAAGTAAGGTGATTAACCGTCCTCCTTTAGGGAGGTCAGTCCTCCTTTTGTGAATTCTGTCCTCCCTTGAAAAGTGTCCTCCTATATGTCCTCCTTTTCGATATTTGAAGACTAATCTGCAGGGCTTTTTTTTTTCTCATAGAATGCTCAGAATGGCGTTCCGGCACTTTTCTTTGATGGTTTTTTTTCCAACTTTTGCTTGAGCTGTGCTATTCCCCCTATTGGTTTTCGAAAGCCAATAGGAATTGCTGCTGAGCGCGCCAAAACACTTGGCCGGCAAACTTTGCACATGCAAGTTGTCTGCAGCGAAGGCGAATTGGCAGGAACTTTGCACCCCTCCCTGCTACCCAACTTCACCATCTCCTAGTTAGTCCCGAAGATACCTGGAGGAGACTGGAACAGTAACTTTCTCTTGATCTTCCACCCTGCTAAGGCAATAATGGCTGCGGGCGCAAGAGGCAGGGGTGGCAGGGCTGCTGTGGGCAGGAGTGTGAGGGGCGGTGGTGGCCGGCTCCCCCCATGCTGTGGGAGCCACAGGGCCTGCTCTACACAGAGCTATGCAGGATGGGCGGTGGTGCTGGCAGGGCGGCTGCAGGCAGGGTGTGTTAATGGCGGGCTGCCCCCAGGGCTGGAGCCAGTGCAGCTGGTGCCTTGGGAGCTGTGGGGCCCACTCTATATGGCAGGGCAGAAGTGCTGGTGGGGCAGCTGTAGACGGGGGTGCAGCATGTAAGCATAATTACAATATAAAATATTATTGTTACAAATGTTTTTTATTATGCATTTATCATATTATAGTGTATTTTGTATTATTGTTGCAATGAATAAAATGTTTCTTTTATTTACGATATTTTTTCTTCAATTTATTTGTGTCCTCCTTTTCGTTGTCACTTTAGTGAAAGCAAATCTGAGACTCTGCCCTGCCATTTACGTAAGGCCAGATATTAACTGGGGCAGATTCATGGTTGCTATGGAAGCCATACAATTGTAAGATGCAACAAGAAATGAATTAAAAGCAAAGGCAGGAATGTATCTAAAATTATCTTATTTTAATGTAATTTAATCAGCCACTTTTCTTGCTATGTATCATTCATGTTACTTTTGATTTACAAGCAAATTTCTTTCCTAGTTAGAAAAGTACATACTGTATGCGAGGGCTTCTAGGTTCTTAATCCTTTTTTTCCTATCTGGGTCTTTCTCCTTTCTTTGGAAATTGCAATTTACAACATAAAAGCCATTTGGTTGAATACAGATCTAATTAAAGAGGCACATAATAATGTTTTAGATCAGTCTGGATAAAATCTCATTGATCTTATGGAGGAATTTTAATAATGGAGTCATTGTGTGTAAGTTGGGTGGTTATGTACATTTGTTTAAACACACACACACACACACTGTGTCAAATTGGAAGTGTCTTGGCGACGAAGTCTCATTCGTCATCTTCAGGCTGGTGTTTTTGGCTTCATGCTTCTAGGAGCAAACTGACACCCACCATGAAGATGAGGCACGACCACGAACGCGAAGCAAAATAATAGCAATGCAGCTCACCATCTCACATCCCCCTGCAACTCAGACTAACCTGAGCACAACAAAGCCCCCACCCAAACAAAACACTCCCCCATCCAATCAGAGCACAGCCAACCCCCCCCCCCCATCCAGTCAGAGGACAGCCAAGCTCCTAACCAATCAGAACACACCTCCACCCAATCAGAACACAGCCAAGCTCTCACCCAATCAGTTCATACCCCCACTGGCAGTTAAAAGGAAGAAACAACTATGGTAACACATTGCTCCTAGAAGCAAGAAGCTGAAAACACCAGCCTGAAAATGATGAATGGGACTTCGTTGAAACATTGCCAAGACACTTCCAAACCCGAATAACCAAAGACCTACACACACACACACATACACACACACACACACATATATTTGCTGACAAATATATATATATAGCTATCCCATTCTCCCTTAATTCTTTGTTAGCAATCCAAATTTTATATATATATATATATATATTTGCTGACAAAGAGTTAGAAAATTAAGTGTGGGTTTCCAAATGGCTGGTAGGCGGGAGGTATCATCTTGTTCATGCTGTGTGGGCATTTTTCTATCTCAATGGCTTCTCTGATTATTCTGTTATTAAAGTGTTCAGTTTTGGCGATAGTTCTGGTCTTTTTAAAGTCAGTTTCATGTCCTGTGATTTTAAGGTGTTGGACCAGGGAAGAAGTTGGTTCCTCTTTTTTGAGTGAGTTCTTATGATGGCCATTTTGAGCTCATTCTACTCTCTTCACCTCCCCTCAGAGGGTTGGAAAGCCTGTGGCTTGGTGGTTAAATCACTGCCTAGTATGTAAACTGCCCAGGTTCGAATCCCATAAAGGGTGTGGCTAACTGAAGAGAGCAGAATGAGCTCAAAATGGCCATCATAAGAACTCAGTCAAAAAAGAGGAATGAGCTCAAAATGACTATCTTAGTCTCCCAATTTAATTCTTTAACTCTTTGTCAGAAAAAGAATTTTGGATTTGTAAATGTTTCTCAGTTGCGACTTGAGCCTGCTTAACGCCCCTAGTTGGGGGGCTGCAAGACAAAAGAAATTGTAAAAAAGTATAACTGCAGTATAGCAATTAAAAATGTCAAGGTGTAATCAATCAGACCGGTTTGTCTGAAAAACTTCCTGTATATACTCCCTTGACTCGGCTGGCATAAATGCTTTAATTGCAGGCATAGAATGTACAATAGGAAGTCTAAAATTTGGATTTGGCTGTTGGTGCAGCAGAGAAGAAAATACTGGGAAAGGTATTTTCAGATATTAACATACCAAAGAAAAATCCCAAACATTTATAGTAGTTTACCATAAGAAAGACTGAGTGCCAAAGAACTGAGGCCTTTGAACTATGGTGTTCAAACTGGTCAGTCCTAGAGGAGATCAACCCTGACTGCTCTTTAGAAGGTCAGATCCTGAAGTTGAAACTCAAATACTTTGGCCACCTAATGAGAAGGAAGGACTCACTGAAAAAGAACCTAATGCTGGGAAAGATTGAGGGCAATAGAAGAAGGGGACAACAGCGAATGAGGTGGCTGGATGGAGTCACTGAAGCAGTAGGCGTGAGCTTAAATGGACTCCAGAAGATGGCACAGGACAGGAAGACCTGGAGGAACGTTGTCCATGGGGTCGCGATGGGTCGGACATGACTTTGCAACTAGCAACAACATAGTAGTTTACACAACGTCTTTTATTTGTGGCAGCATGCTGCATGTACTGGATCACTTTGATTTGGTTGGCAAACTATGTTTTGAAAAATATGATTTATTACCTAGATAAAGAGTGGAATTTGAATAATCTCATTCCTTTGTTTTTGTTTTCTTTTTCATGTTTTCTTCTGATTTTCATAATGACTTGTATACAGTGAGGAAGGAAGGAAGGAAGGAAGGAAGGAAGGAAGGAAGGAAGGAAGGAAGGAAGGAAGGAAGGAAGGAAGGAAGGAAGGAAGGAAGGAAGGAAAAGACTGAGTAATGTGATAAGGCATGCAGGCTGGCATATAGAGATGGGTATAATATATTACAGAAAGTGCAGGAGAATCCCCTAAGGGAACACTTTCAGCTGTATTGAAATTGATTTCATACAGAAATATTACAGGAACATTAACATAGAAATACACTGTGAACACATTTAAAAGAAACAATTTATTGCTCAGAGAATTCTTATTTATATTGAGCAATATAGATAAAAATGTACAAATTCTAAAGACCAAGAAATTATAATTCCAGCAAATTGCTTTTTATAAATGTTCTTATTATGTATTTTTTTCCCAAAATGTAAAAGAAAAATAATCCTTACAGATATACTGTATCAGGCACAAACGCAAATAAAATGCTTATTTCACAGATCAGTCAAATCTTCAGCAGTGTGATTGCTGGCTGCAAAATTTACCAAACCATTAAGAATTCTTCTGAATCCATTAATGTATTACTTTTTTTCTTTTTATGTCCTCCTCTGAGATTAAGAATCCAAGCCAACCTAAACCTATTATATAGTGATCCATTATTCATATAGTGCAGTAAATATATTTTGTATTCAGACTTATGTTTAAGTAGAAACATAGAACCATCATATTGAAAGGGAACATTTAAGTCACAGACTCCAACTCCCTGTATGGTGCAGGAATCCAAATTATAACATTCCAGACAAATGGTTTGCTAACTTCTTGAACATTTCCAATACAGTAAGAGGGTGGAGGCACTATTTTTCTGGTTGCATTGTTTAATTGCTTTTTACATTTTTTTTCTAACTTACAGTTGGAATGTGCCTTCCTTTATTCTTTGTTCTACATTCTGGAGTGAGAGAATTTCTGAATTTCTGGTATAAAATGCTTTTAAGTATCTAAAGACTGCTTGAATATTAATCTTTTCTCATTCATTCATCTTTTCTTAAGGTTAAATGTTCCCAGGTCTTAGTTTCTAAGTTCTCCATTATCTTTGTCACTCTTTCCTAATCCTATTTCCTATTTTCTAATACTTATCAGAGACGGATAATTAAAACTGGGTATACTGCAAACTGATAATAAACAGTTAATGAGCACTTTTATAGTAAACTTTCAGAATTAGACATATATGCATTTCATTGACATGTCACCCAGCTCAAACTAAATTAGTTTACTTACATCAGCTTGTCATGGAGTGCTTTTTCAAATGCTTTATAGAATTAAGATTTATGAGATCACCTGTGGAGATGGTTACCAGCATCAAATTCCTAGGTGTGCAGCTAACGAGTAGGCTGGCTTGGTCACTCAACAGCGCCTGCATTTTCTCCATCGCATGAGAAAAGCACATCTTCCTTCCCCTGTCCTGACCACTTTCTACAGGGGCCGATCGAGAGCATCCTGTCATATGGCATCACTGTCTGGTTGGAAGCATCACTGCTTCAGACAGGAAGGCGGTGCAGAGAGTGGTGAGGATGGCAGAAAAGATCATTGGCAGTTCCCTCCCTCCCGTCCAGGACATAGCACAGAAACGTTGCTTAAGCAGGGTCCGTAAGATTATCT